AATGCCTTTTGAAAATCAATGAATAGCATTAAACCGGGAATGTTTTCTTTCACAGTAAAGTCCATGACATCGTAAATAGATCGAATAGTCTCGCCTATAAAACGATCTTTTACATATCCTGTCTGATTAGGATGAATAATGTCAGGCAAGACTTCCTTTATCCTCGATGCAATTGCTTTGGTCATTATTTTTGTATCTACATTAACAAGGGAGATTGGACGCCAATTTTCTAAAAGAGAACGATCTTTCCCTTTCTTTTCAATTGGTGTGATGATTGCTTATTTTTGAGAACTAGACATCTCACCCTTTTCGAAACATTCATTAATGCAGTTCATAAAGCTATCGCCAATTACTGGCCAAAATGTCTTATAGAATTCAATAGGAATGCCGTCATTACCAGGAGTTTTATTATTGTCAAAGTTATCAAGGAGACGAAAACATTCTTCTGCTGAAATTTTACCTTTGCAAATTTTTTTCTGGCCTTCAGAAAGTGTGGGTATATGTAAATCATTAAGGAAAGAAGAAATTTTCATTGCAATATCTGGATCAGTAGTACTGCTTTTGTACAGGTTTTTGTAGAACCGTTTTTGCTCTTTTAATATACAAAATAGATCCGTTTTAATTGCTCCGTTTATATGAAGTTTTCGGATATGCTTTTTTATATGATTTCTTTTCTCGAGGTTTAAAAGTATTTTGTGCTCTTTTCTCCATGCTCATGCCAACGAGCGCGTGCACGTATAATTATTCCCTTAGTTTTTTCTTCATAAAAGCTTTCTAACTTTAAGTTTCTCACGTCGCTCTTGTAAAAATTTACCTTAAATTATCTTCTAAACAAGGAGGTAAAAAGATTTCTATTTAACAAAAAATCACTTTATTTTGTGTAATGAAATGAAAAAGCAATTCACCGAAATTAATTCGTGAGCGGTCTGTCTTAGCGGTCTGTCTTAGCGGTCTGTATTGCAAAATTTGGACCAGTGGGGAACCAATCAGAATTCTCCTTTTCATTGCAGACTAGTTCAGCCACATAATAACTATTTGAATATAAACATGTTCTATGCTATGCGCACACGTCTGGGCTTTGACTAAAATTAAACACAATCATTCATAAATCACGACATGCACTCAGGCTATATGTTTCCTCACTATGCACAATGCATAATTTTTAGTTAAACTCGGTACAGTTACTCGTGTCAGTATGAACTCAAGCCTGCACCGAGTTAAAGCCAAATGAATGTTGCTTAGTGAGCGTATTAGTTTCTGGGCAACCAGCATTACAACAAGTCTCGCATGGCCGATGCCACTTTGCATGCGCCATAGGCGAAACCTGAGTAATACATGAAACAATTAGAGGAAATACTCTTTTACGTCTTCTAATACATCGCCCACCTTTGTGCCAAGAAATTTTTATACGCACTTGAGACTTAACAACTGCCCACTTCTCAAGTTCTAGATTCTACTACACTACCGCAAGGTCAACTTTGTATCCACCTGTAGTGGACGCAACAAGGACACCTTCATTCCCAACCTTTCCCCGAACAAAGTGGTTGAGAGTAAATGACAGTAAATTGACAATGTTATCCTTTTTTGACTCGATTGAAATACTAACCTTAAATTCTCTGTCTTTTCCACCATCCTCACCAGGTAATTTAACAGTGAGTTCTGCCTAATTGTAACAAACAGATCCACTTTAACCGACATTTGTACGTCACACATTGAGAATGGGGCAATGAATGTTTACAACAAACAATTTTCTTAGTGTCCTTGACATGATTATTGTATAATCTGCAGCTAGATGACGTCCCAAACGTTGATTTCGAAAATATACAGTACGTTTTTGGCCAATCAGAAAAGAGATATTGATTTGAATGTATAATAATAATAATAATTTATTATATGGCTTTGGCTTGTGGCCGATATAACGCGCGCTCTGATTGGCTAAGAGCGAGATCTGAGCGGTCATTATGCAGCCGTAATGCCCCCGGGCCGATTACGGATTATGCAAATTAGGAAGAGCCCGGTTCTGAAAATTCAAGCGCACTGAAACGATGAAAGCCGATTAAAAACGGTAAGAGAAAGTAAATTTAATTCCGATTGGCTCAAAGTTTAAAGATTTTTTTTCCTTAATAAAATTTATATAAAAGTCGTTTTTGACTTACCAGCCGGTAACCTTAGCGGGCACTAGTGAAAAACAATCAAAGCTTGTCGAAATCGCTTAGAAAAAAAAAATCGGCAGATCTGCCATGCATCCTGAGCAGAACACCACGAAGAAACTTATAAGTTATCATCTTAGTCACAACAATTACCGAAGTATTGAACTCCGTCGT